GGTGGGGGGGGGGGGGGGAGGGGTTAAGGAAGAGCCGAGCTGCCCGCTGCAGGTGTGAGTGAAGAGGGTCTGCAGGGAGGAAAAGCAGCTCCCATGTGCCTCCCTCCCCTCCCCCCCAAGCAGGCAATGGTCCAGGAGATGACTGACAGCTCCATCTCTCAGCCCTGATCGAGAACTCAGGGTCCTAAAAGCCCCGCCCCACCCTTCACACCTCCCTGGGGCTGTCCCACTGCGGGCAGGACACAGATGAGGGAAGGAAGGAAATGCAGTCCTCAAGGTCATGGGTGGGGACTGGGTGCGGGCGGGCATTGGGCTGCCCAGCTGTGTCACTGAGTCCCTGGCCTCCGGTCCAGCCCGCCAGCTCCTGGGCCCAGGGATCTTCCATCCGAAGCTGGACTCACATCCACCAGGGCCACCTGCCCTCGCTCAGCAGCCTGTCACCATCACTGGCTCCCTGGCCCCACCAGCACATAGGAAACACCTACTGTGTGCCCGGCTCTGAGCAGGCAGGGCTGCACGTCGAATGAGTGACAGCACTCAGGGTCGGGGCCCAGGGGGACAGTGGGAGCCAGAGGACAGGCACCGGCCTGTGCTGCAGGACACCCCAGACAGAAGGGGCCCGGGACCCGGGGCGGAGAAAACCGGCTCCGTCCTCTTACTACCGAGTGAGCTGCCTGCTGCTCCGGCTCCCGGGCTGGCTGCTACCTGACCACCTGCCTCGCCTCGAGAACTGGCCCTGGAGGCCGGCTTTCCTGCCTCTCCAAGCAGCAGGGTCCAGGTCCTCCTGCGGCCCAGCCTCCTCTCCACCTGCCTTACAGCCAGTGCGGCTGCGCTGGAGGATTTCAGACAGGCGGTGGGGGGGACAGTGCCCTCATAGGCCAGGAGGGAGGATGTCAGGGGCCCACTCAGCCCCCCAAAACCAACCTCCCCCTATCATGGGCCCGCTCTGCCATTGTCCTAACCGCCTCCATGACACATCCCTTCAGGCCTTGCATTCCAAAAGGCCTGTATAGGTGGGGAACTGAGGCACCGGAGGGCTATGTGAACTGATTGGTCACCCATCTAATGGTTCTGGGTTGGACTAGGAACCCGGGTCTCCTGAATCTGCTCCAGGAACCTTTCTGGCATCACCCCAAGGTCCCTCTCCTGCCCTGAAACTTGGAATTGGGGGGAAAGAGGGAGTAAAACACAGAGAAGAACCAGCAGGTTAAGCCTTAGACACACTCCCCAGCCTCACCCTGCAGGGTTTCCCGGGACTCGGGCAGGGCTGGTTTTGCGGGCCAGCCCCTCCAGCTGGGGCACCGGGAGGCAGGCAGGGTGCCCGTCGGTGCCCTGCATCCCTGGCCCACGTGTGCCGTTTGCAGGTGCCCCGGGACCGCCTGGAGTGCCCATCATCGTGCGGTACAGCTCCGCCATCGCCATCCACTGGTCCAGCGGAGACCCCGGCAAAGGGCCCGTCACCCGCTACGTCATAGAGGCCAGGCCGTCAGGTACGCCCGCCCTGGCTGAGCCGCTGTCCCGTGGAGCCCCCGTCTCACTTCCTGCCTCCTTCCCGAGTCCCTCCACCTGGTGCACTCCTGTCATTGGCACCTGCGATGGCGCGGGTGCTTCTCCAGGCGAAGCTATCTGTGACTGTGGGAGTGGGGAGCAGGGAGGTGCACCCTTAGTTAAGGAACACCCAGAAGTCCCCAGAGAGCTGCACCTAGCACCTGGTGAGGACCCACTCAGGTGGAGGGTCGTTCAAGAAGCCAGGGGAGCCCTAGCTGATTGGCTCAGTGAATAGAGCGTCAGCCTGCAGAACAAAGGGTCCCGGGTTCGATTCTGGCTAGGGCACGTACTGCAGTCGCAGGCTCCTCCCCAGGCTGGGCCCTGGTCCGGGCTCGTGTTTCTCTCACATCGATGTTTCTCTTTGTTTTTCTCTCTCTTTTCCACTCTCTCTAAAAATCAATGGGAAAATATCCTCGGGTGAGGATTTTAAAAAAAAGAAAAAGAACCCAGGGGAGCAAAGAGTTGAGCTCCCAGAGGTTAAACACCCATGTCCTCCAGGCAGCCCCACTGACCAGTGCCCCCCAAGGAGGCCGGCTGTCCGCCCCCCAGACCCAGCTGCCTCTTTAAGGCCCGTCTCCGCCCTCAGGACTGGCTTGGCAGCTCCGGTAACCGCCCCAACCTGTTCTGTCAAGCCTGAAATCGAATCACAAGAACTTCCCAAGCCATCAGCAGATGAGCGGCCGATGAGCCGCTGCAGGGGCTGCTCTGCACGCTCCCGTTTCACAGTCACCGCGACACCTGCGCCTCCCGGCTCCCCTTACCCGGGAGCCACTGCCAGCTCCCCCGTTGCTAGGCTTCCGAGTTCATCAGAGAAGCCAGAGTCGGCAGAGCCAGAGGCATTTTCCTGGACTAACGTGGACCCGTGATTAGGCCACTGAAGCTGAGACACTACACGCAGTCTCTGCTGCTCCTGCAGGAGCAGCAAGTGGCAGCCACAATGGGGAGTAGCCGGGCATGGCAGGAGGTGGCACTTCTAAGGGGGCATCAGAGCATCCCGGGGACATGCTGTTAGCTCCTCGGGGCAGGCGAGCCCGAGTCATCTCAATACAAGCAGTTCATTTCAGGGGTTCCAGGAGGCAGCTACCACCCCGTCGTCGCCCTAATCTTAGGCGCATGATTACAGTCACCAACAGCTAACACATACCGCTCAGAGCCAGCCTGTAGCGGAAGGTGTGCGTACGGCTGGCTCTCTCCCCACTCCAGATGGTCCCGCCCCGGCCCTCCAGTGCCCGCTGCTGAGTTGGCCTGGAGACGGCCGTGCGCTTTTCCCAACCAGGGCCCAAGCCTGATTTTTCCACCCGAGTTGGCCGGTCAGGGTGCCAGGCTGTGGAATGTTGGCTCCAGAATGGACTCCGGCCTGTTGATTTTCCGCTGTTTCCTGGGAGGCCTGGCGTGGGGCCTGGTGTTCCGGGTTGGGGGGCCGTGAGTTGGTCCACACGGGTGGGATCAAGGACTAGGGTAAGAGGAGGGACCGAGCCAGGAACCCCGGAAGGGTCAGGACTCAGAGCCGTGGCGGAGGGCTGGTGCTGGGGACAGCAGGCTGTGGGAAAGGGTGAAGAGCCATTGCCTTAATCTTGGGCTAATAGTTAAGACGGAAGGTGGGGGTTGGGGGTCTGAGAGGGAAGTCAAGAGCTCAAACGTTGGAGACAACATGGGTGGAGTACAGACGGGGATCCCTTCCACCTTCTCTGGTCCCTGCTGCTCCTCTGATCCCTGCTCCTCAGCATGGAGGGACCTGAGGATGGGTCCCATCAAATCCAGGCAACTTGACCAAACCCTCACGGTCACCCCAATCCCTTCTGCAGCTGTTCAAACACAGTCCTCTTCTTGTCTGATGCCACTACTGGGTGTGCTTTGAAAAGGGATGGGGACCAGGAACGTGGGGGCCTGGTTAAGTACAGGAGGGGGCACCACATGATGACATCTGAGGCAGCCAATGTTGAGGAGCACTTTGCAATGCAATGGAAAAAGTATATGCAGGCCCAGTCAGCATGAACCAGGAGGTCACTGTTTGATCCCGATCAAGGGCACATGCCCAGGATGTGGGCTGGATCCCCAGTGCAGGACATGTAGGAGGCAGCCGATCAATTCTCTCTCATCCTTGATGTTTCTATATCTCTCTCCCTCTCCCTTCCTCTCTGAAATCAATAAGAATATATTTTTTAAAAGAGTAATATGCAAAATTCTGCCTATAAGGGCTGAAAAGGCTCATCTCTTTGTCTAGAACAGGGGTGGGCAAACTTTTTGACTCAAGGGCCACAATGGGTTCTTAAACTGGACCAGAGGGCCGGAACAAAAGCATGGATGGAGTGTTTGTGTGAACTAATATAAATTCAAAGAAAACATCATTACATGAAAGGGTACGGTCTTTTTTTTTTTAGTTTTATTCATTTCAAACAGGCCGGATCCAGCCCGCGGGCTGTAGTTTGCCCATGGCTGGTCTAGAAGATGGTGATATCAGGTTACTTGTTGCAATCTGTTCTGCATATTATACATGTTTAATGTTTTATGGACATCTTAACAAATAGACTAAAAGTGTCAGATACTGCACAAGTATCTATCATCTCCTGAGGAGCTCCTGGGTGCGCGTCCCCACCCCACCCCCCGCCCCCTCCCACCGCACTGGGGAGTGGAGTTGACAGGTGACCTGACAGGCCGCTCTCAGGGAGCGACAGGTAGGCTGGGGCCTCCCCTCACGGGGGGCCTCCCTCTGCGCTCTTGCAGACGAGGGGCTATGGGACATCCTCATCAAAGACATCCCCAAGGAGGTGACCTCCTACACGTTCAGCATGGACATCCTGAAGCCGGGCGTGAGCTACGACTTCCGGGTCATTGCAGTCAACGACTACGGCTTCGGCACCCCCAGCAGCCCCTCCCAGTCGGTGCCAGGTACCGGCCTGTGGGTGAGGGGTGCAGGGGCTGGGCGGTGGGGAAGGAGGGGAGGCAGCAGAGCCCTGGGAGCGCGGAGATGGGGCCCAAAATGCACTGTCCCCTCAGTGCCCCGAAGCAGCGAGCCCTGGGCCAGGGCCCAAGTCAGGATTCAGCTTCGGAAGAAACTGGGGACGGACAATGGCTCCTGTGGGTTCCTTTTCAGGGACTTGGAAGCCCTGGGCAGGGGGCCCAGCCGGCTTGTGGACGAATCAGTGGGCCCAACATGGGAGCTTCCTGAGCTCATCAGCCGGGAGATTCTAGGGCGCCAGGCCATAGACTGTGTGTCTCCATAGAAACCGAGCCCCCAACAGACAGTCAGCGGCCCACAGAGCACACACAGAGAGGCCTGGACCACCTGATTGAGCAGGGCCCTGGCGGGGTGGCCTGCCATCTCCCCTTCTCCTCTCCCCGTTCTTCCCGTCCCGCGTGTCTCAGCTCAGAAGGGGCCTCTACGACCAAAACCCATGACCCCAAAGCTAAGCACTGACCACTTAATACCAAGGCCGCTTCCCCCAGGGCAGACATGTACCTCAGAGCTTCTACTCACGGGGGAGTTTCCAACCCCCGCCGCCCCCCTCCTCCCACACACTCCCACCCTTGCCAGATTGACAGCACCGATTGATCGTGGGAAATAAATAAATGCTTGAGGGCTGAAATAGGAGCTAGCCCCGCCTCGGGCAGCAGCGTGGATTAGACGGGCCAGGTGCAGAAAGCAAGTACTGGGGGCTTCAGAGAAGGGGAGCCCTCCCTGGAGAGGCATTTGAAAGACCCACCCATGTCCTCTCCCAACCACCCTGCTTTCTGCTACCAGAAAAAGATTCCATCCCAGCTGACCCTGGGGACAGACTCTCCCAGGCCCAGCACAGGCCAGACAAACACCTTTCCAATCCAAGGTTGGCCCTGCCTGTCCAGGTAGGCCGTGGGTGGCAATGGAAAAGTAAAAGGAACCCGGCTGGCATGGCTCAGTGGTTGAGCTTTGACCTATGAACCAGGAGGTCATGGTTTGATTCCCAGTCAGGGCATATGCCTGGGTTACAGGCTCAATCCCCAGTGTGAGGCGTGCAGGAGGCAGCCGATCAATGATTCTCTCTCATCATTGATGTTTCTCTCTCTCTCTCCCTCTCCCTTCCTCTCTGAAATCAATAAAAAATATAATTTTATATAAAAAAAAGAAAAAATAGCAAACACACCATTCCTCCTCCACTGCAGCCCGTGTCTCCAGCAGACATTACTAATCAATCCCGGTACTGTTTCCTCGTGAGTCCAGAAGCAACCTCAGCACTCATCTCAAAACAGCCTCCAGGGAGCCCAGCTGATCAGAGCTGGCACTTGAGATGATTGCCCCTCCCAACCTTGTCGTAGGCTTGACCTCCTTCAGAGGGCACAGACCCTGCCTACCCATAGACCGAGAGCAGGACTTAGGGACCCCACTGCATGGGAGGTTTGGAGACAAGAGGGGCCGAGCACCCTGGCCCTGATGCCCCACCCGTGTTCCAGCCCAGAAAACCAACCCGTTCTACGAGGAGTGGTGGTTCCTGGTGGTCGTCGCCCTGGTCGGCCTCATCTTCATCCTGCTCCTGGTCTTCGTGCTCATCATCCGGGGCCAGAGCAAGAAGTACGCCAAGAAGACGGACTCAGGTGAGCCAGACCCAGCCTGCCGGCGGGGCTGGGCCTTCCCATGTCCGCCTCCCTTTCGCAGTGGCGGGTGGAGGTCTCTCCCGGAAGTGCATCTGCTCCCACAGGTGGGGCAGCCCGGGCTTCCTACCCAGTCTCCATCTCCTAGTCTGGTTTCAGCTCTAGCAAGAGACAGAGGGAGCAGCCAGCCAGGTGGGGAGAAGGGAGGCGGGGGCGGGGACGCTGCCCAGGGTGAAGGGATGGTGTGACCGAGCCATGCCAACCTGCCCCCCAGGGAACAGTGGCAAGGCTGGTGCCCTGGGCCATGGGGAGATGATGAGCTTGGATGAGAGCAGTTTCCCTGCCCTGGAACTCAACAACCGGCGCCTCTCCGTCAAGAACTCCTTCTGCCGGAAGAACGGCCTGTACACCAGGTAGCAGCCCTCTGCGTGGGGGACGGGAGGACGGGGGTTGGAGGGCCAGCAGTGCCCAGCTGGGGAGGGCCACAGAGCAGGCAGTGCCCACTCGGCCTCACCCTGCCCCAGAAACGGCTTTCCACCCCAGAGAGTGTAACGGTCAGCACAGGCAGGGACCAGGGCCCACAGCCCGGACGAGGGCACACTGGCGAGAAAGGAGGCGGGGACAAAGGGTTTCCGCCAATCACAGCAGAAGGCCAGTAACTTGCAGTTTTGCAAACGGGCCGCTGCCACCTGAAGCCAGCCGTTCCTGGCACAGCCCGAAGCCATGATACCCACTTGCCCCCAAGGGGAGACGGGCCTGACCAAGGCTGGGCAGACCCACCTGAGTGAGAGGCCCCAGGAGCTCCCCACGATCGTGGACGCCCCACCTGCCCCCTCCCAGGAAAGGAAAGACACCCCGAGTGTAGCTATGTCTCCCCTGGTCCTCCCGATGCCTGCTGTCATTGCAGAACACTTTCTCCCACCCCCCGCCCCCCAAGTCTGCACTCAGGATTGTCCCCCAAGGGCAGCATCTAAGAGCCCACCAGGAAGGACGAGGTTGGTGGCACGCCAGCTCTCTCCCCCATTTCCCTCCAACCCCAGGCCCTCCTACGGACGCCTGTGGCCATGGGGCTGCCCATGGCCAAGGGCAGGGGCAGCTCACAAAACGTCTCTGTCTGGTCCCGGAGGGAAGAGGCGATGTGTGTGTTCCTCAGGGGGGTGGGGGATAGGGGTGGCGGTGGGGGTCAGAGTTCTGGCCAACGAGGCCCACTCTCACCCTCTGAGAAAGGCAGCTTTCCAAAGAAAGGGACGTTTGAGGCCTCGGTGGCAGGCCCAGCATGGCCACCACAGTCTCGCCAGGCCGGCTCCAGGGCCCTGCCACAGGGAACAAGGG